GACTTGTTGGATAACTTTTGTTATTAATTACAACATTTTAAGACACAGATAATTCTTAAGTAATAGATAATTTATTACGTGTTTTAAAGGTTTCACTTCGAGGTTGCGCTTTTTAATTACTGATTTTCAAAATTACACTTTATAATTTCAGTTTGTGTAACTTCTGTTTACTTGATGATAATTATTTGCGTTTAAAAAGTGACCCAACTAATTATTTGCGCAATAAATGTAAATATTTAAAAAGTGATCAGTAGGCAAAAAAAAGTGTATGAAGGACACGGGGAAAACTGTTTTCGATTCACTTTTATATAAGCAACCATTCAGCGATTTCAACTGCTGATACGAAATAATCTACTAGACTTACACAACGTGTATATAGAGCCACTACTGATAGGTGACAAAAGGGTCTGATTATAAACCACGCGGTGATAGGAGACTACCTCAAATATTAGTGAGCTTTAATTATTTACTTTTACTATATATGTATATATACACTTTTGTGAAAAACCCACAGAACTACAGCTGTTTTGCTTTCACAAATAAATGTTAGGTTTGGAATTTATTTTATATTCTTGAACATATTTGTTTTGGGCTTATTTACACCTCTCTGGGGGCCCGATAAGAGTTATGTTCCTAAGCCTGCTACGCATTAAATAAAGTTGCTCGACTCGCTCCAACGTAAACAACATTTCGCACACACACCCACCCACACACATATTGGTGTTTTTGTGCGTTGAGGTTCGCTGGAGTTCGTCGTCATGGATCTGAATAACCTGACTTTATGAGTGTATAGTGTGGGACTCTCCTCCACTGCACCTCGCTGAGCTGAGTCTAATCGTTCAATTTAATCACAAATAAAAACTATAAATAGAAAAAAGTAAAAATGAAAAATAGTCATAAACTTGTTTGCGTTCAAAGCTGGACGACCTTTTTTTCTACCCATTAATTATTTGTCTTGAGGGTAGATTATTTTCCTTTAAGACGCATTATTCTGTTCTTAATTTTGTTCTCTAGGTAGAAAGTTTAAAATGAAATTTTCGTACCTATAGCACTTTTAATATATACATACCCTATATACCCCATGTAATCAATTGTTCAAGCATTAAGTTGAATACAATAGAACATACTTGATCGGATTACTGAGTATCTCTTGTTTGATCACTTCAATTGCAGCATTCTCTATCGTTTATTCAATAATAGATTTTCTTGTATTATTATACTTATTTATATTCATGTAAGCTTCGCTGATTGTGGGCACTTAATCTCCGTATACAAACATATATTTATTCATTCCTCAGGTTTCTATATTTTATTCAATTGGCTGAGCACGTTTTCTGGTTTTATTTTGGATTGTTTTTTTTTTACAAAATATCTTTACATAACGTCTTTTTTTGCGGCCGGCATTATAGACTGGTTTTTTGCATTCTACTCGTATTTTTATACCCTTGCAAAGGTATTATAATATTAGTGAGAAGCTTGTAACGCTGTAAAGGAGTCCTTTCCGATTCTATAAATTATATATATTCTTGATCAAAAGTCGAGTCGATCTAGATATGTCCGACCAAAATAAAATGTTGTTAAAATTGTCAAAAAATAAATAAAAACTACATTTTTTGAAACTTTAAATTGATTATGCAGATTTATGAACCTAACAAAAACTAACATAGATAAGTTTACCGAATTTAAATTAATGATCTTTTGACTTAGTTATGAGTTTTTAAAACTTAGATTTGTCGAAAAAACTGTCATAACAAAATATCGATAAATAATGATTCAAAGAATGATTATTTTAAGCTGGAAACTGCAAGAGTATGTAAACTTCGGCTTCCCGAAATTAGTTTTCTTTCTTGTTCAATATGCTAAAACGCAGAAAGACTCGACCAGACTGTCTCGCAACCTCAAAAAGGGGGGTAATGCAGCCCCAGCTACCCCCCAAAGACCCCTTCCCTTGGTGTTACCTCTGGCCTAACCCCTCCTGCACTTATAGCCTCAAAACTGATTACGAGCGAATGTTGACTTAGAGAATGCCACTGAATGTGGGTCTTTTTGCACGTTTACGTTCAACCAGCCGGCTCTCGGTCATTGTTTGCCTTTATTTTTACTTCTCTTTGTCGTATTTTTGTACGATTTCACTTGCTGCTATCGTGCTAGTCCCCGTCCGATTCTAATGCCATTTAAAATAGTAATTTTGCATTGCCAGCGACTCAGTTGTCTATCAGCGATCGTTCGATGTGGTGCACTTTTTTGCGAGATCCCAAAGATACTCTAGTATTTGTGAAAAATAGTGTTTTTAACAACTTTATTTGGATATTATTAAACTGAAACAACTGGCAAGTTCAAGTTTCTATATCCTTTAGCTAAGTGCTTCATTAAATTGACTAATCCCAGGAGATCCTTATGAATCACTTTCTACTATCTATGACCTTGAAATATCCACCAAATTGATTGCTTCTAATCTTTTGTGCAGAGAACCTCACCTTTATAGGTATTATAGTACTCAAAATTTAATGACAAACACTCAAATACGTCAGCGATTTATGTGGGGGGTTCAAAATGTCCAAAGTGATAAGAAACATGCCCGTATATAAATATAGATTTTAAAACATGTGCTCACACGTTCAGTGAATGTTTGAGCGAGTGTATTTCTCGTGGAAAATTACAACAAACTCATTCGAGTAACGAGTGACTCGATGAAAATGTAGTTTATTGTCCTTGCAGTGGAGTCAGGGTCATTTTCCTCATTTACTATAGATAACTCTATTCGAAATGACATAATGATTGCAAATTATTGATCATGATCACGAATTTATCCCTGAGAACACCGATGTATACGTGATCAACTGCATGGAAAGTGTTTTTTGAATATTCTTAACACAAATGTGCCACAAAAACGTATACATGAAAAATACATTTTAATGTATATTATATTGTTTAAATATTTACCTTAACTGAGTAACTAAGGTGATAAAGATAAGGCTCTAATTTGAACTTTATATTGAGGAAAACTTTTATCATTTTCCAATTGTTGTTTATTATGTGTCATATCGAATGAATAATTTGATTTATCGGTTTTTGATAAAACATTTAAGGTCAAAACTATATTTTGATATAGAAATGACTGCATTATTGTGTGAATAATATGAATTCTAAATTAACCTTGGATTTTTTTCAACCCCTAAATGAATAATAAATTTTTTAACAACAAATATTTCCGTATAAATAATTATTAATATTGAAAAGATACATTTTGTTTATGTGTATCTGTTTCCTTTATACAACAATATTTTATTGAATAAATTAAGCCACTGCTCTGCATCTTTCTCTCTCTCGGATTACGGGTCTCTTTCTTTATCCTCTCTCATTGTTTTGAAGTTTTCCACCACCACGTCTTTGCGTTTCTCCACTTTTCCGCTCTCCTTTTGCGTGGCCTACGTGCCGAAAATCACATGTTTATTTTGTTTTGGGCTCTCTTTTTTATGTTGGCATCTTACAGATACACCGCATGGTGCGAGTGGGATAGCCTATGTTTGTTGTGTTTATAATGTAGAGCCCCACTTGTTATTTGGATTTATTCACCTGTTTTCGATATTCGATTCGTATTTTATATGCTAAGGTTGTATGGGTGGGTGAACTTTCGCAGCCGATCAAAACAACAATTAGAAAATGCGTACAAAAACAAAACGATAAAATAAATTCAAAAAAACGCACGTACACACACTGAGCGAAAACCTGTATTCATTGCCTGCCCTCTGCGCTGGCTCTCGCGCATTCAGCCGGCATAAGTCTGCATATCTCTCTCACTCGTTTTGCCCTCTCTCATTAGCTCTCACGCATCCGTGAACCGGCGCATCGGCTGTTTTCTGTTTTGTTTTTGTTTTGGATCTGGGGCCACAGTGGAGCTTCTTTAACGAAACTTTCTCAGTAAAGAACCATATTCTCAACTTATTAACCACTCGGATGAGAATTTAATAGTTTGTAAAAGAAAAAGATTTCTTATGTACATAACTATTTGACAAATCTTGGTAAAATATAGTATTTCAAGGAATTACTGTAATTACATTATAGGCCTTACTGTGTGCTTTTTTTATGTTGTGCTGTAAAACCAGTTGTTGTTGTTGCGCTTTATGAGCCTCTGCCACCGCCTTTGCCTCTTTGTTTTCGTCTTCTTCGTTTTTGCTCACGTAGCCAACGCGTGGACAGCATATAGCCCCTGAGTGTGAACGAGATGGGCGACAAATGAGTGAGATAGGGAGCAGATAAAGAGGCGGAGGCATATTCGGTTCCCAGTGGCGCAGCTATCGCCACAGAATTCACTGAACACTTCGCGAGAACGGACGCACCAGTTTCCAGGCAATTGTTTAAATACATTTTTTTGCCTTAGCATCAATTAAATTTAATAGCGCCAGCAACAACAACTGTGCTAACTGTGCTAGTTATAGCAAAAAGGAAAAAAGCGAAAATAGACAGCAAAAGTGTTATATGAAAAGCAAAACAAACAAACGATAAGAAAAAAAAACCTGCAGTGCGGCGATTATAAGTAGAAAAGCTAAGAAACTAAAAGTTATTGTGAGAAACCGAGGTAATTTTCCAGTGCCAAAATAGGCGAAAATGTATACTTGGAATAGAAGCCAAGTTTAATAAGTGAAATTACTCCTATTAACTCTTTTATATCCTTAATTTATTGTGTTTGTGTAACAATATTAATTTCAAGTTAGTAATTGATTTTTTAGTGAGTGATTAACCCAAGAAGAGTGTACACTCTGACTCATGTGCGCATTGAACTAAATCTGGGTTAGGGACACTCCCCTATATACCCTATATATACCGCTATACTTTTTGAGGTTATACTTGCGCATAGGGAGTAAAGGAGTCATGACGAAGTTGCATTGATTTTTCTGTAAACATTTTTGTGCTCTCCTTTTGCAATTGTCACATGTCTCACATTTTCAGTTTCCACTTCTCTAAATACCATCTTTGTTATGTTTTGTGAACGCTTACAGATATCGGCTAAACAATCCGGCAGCCCCAAGGCAGGAACCTCTCCATTGGACAAACGTGTTTTGCAGCCCAAGGCACAGCAACAACAGCAATCCAAGCAGACTGCCAGCAGCAACAACAACAACGCACAGAATAAAAAGACACAACAGCAACCTCAACAGGGAGCAGCAGCAGCAGCAACAACAACAAACACACAGACAACGACAGGAGCAGCAAGCACAGCGGCACCATCAACATCATCAGCAGCAGCAGCAGCAGCAACACCGACAACATCGGCAGCAGCAGCAGCAACAGCAACAGCAACAACTGAAACAGCAACAACCACTGGTGAGTGCCTAAGATGGAAAATTTACCAAAAAAAACATAGATTTATTAAATTCAAACAAGAACACGCCATCATTTTAAAGGAAAACCATTAGCTTTTGTATTTTTTGCTGTTAAAAATAGTTTATTATGTGCTTTTTATGTACATATATTTATCTGGAAAAGCCTGCCTATATTACTTAAGAAAGATATATCTGCCATATATTATTATATACCTCAGATAGTATAGATTGGAATTTTTTTGGCTAAGCCCCCCCATGGAGTTGTTTTCATGCCAAAGAGATGGGTTTGCAAACCTAACCACCATGTGACTGTGCTCTCCCGCACTTGCTCTGTTTCTCTCACGTGTCGTCTCCTAGTTTTCATTGGGGTTTTCCCTGTTGCTGCTTTCTCTCTCTCTGTTGATTATGACCCCATGCTCCGAGAGAGATGAAAGAGAGAGGATACATTTTTGGCGACGCATATGGCCTGATTTCTTATTTTTAAAACACTTCTTTGTTTTTAATACTCACCCTGAAATCGCTTCTCATTTGCAGTTGATGCGACTCAGGCAGATGCGCTAGCTAAAGTTGTAAAGGACAAAAGGAAGGTCAACCAAAAGGTAAGAATAATAATATATCCTTATAATATATAATATATATATATCGCTGTTATTTGTCAGGACTAAAAAGGTCCTAAATAATTGAAAGTCTATCATACTCAATATCTCCTTGTTTTCACAGGCTAGCGACTTTAGCAACGTTGGTGACTGGCCCACGCTAATCGGTGGAATTTCTGGCAGTGGCAAAGCCCCCAGCAACGAACCCAAGCGAAACCCAACGAAAAAACAGCAGCCAGCCAAAGCAGCCGCAGCCAGCAGCAACACAAGCACTCCAAGTGAAGTTGCAGCCGATCCTAACGCCACCGCAGCAACCACCAACAGCAGCAACACTACAACCACCAGCAGCAACAGCAACAGCAACAGCAATAGCAATAGCCAAGCAACAGCCACAGCCGCTCCTGTTGCCAGCACGAGTCATGATGCCAAAGCCCAGCGAGACGCTGAACCAGCAACCGATGCTGCTCCAGCAGCTGCTGGCTCCACTGCCGGGCCTTCCCTCACCAAGAAGCTACCCAAGCACAAGTGGCGTCCGCTGCCCATCGATCTGGCCAAGTCCAGTCGCCCTAAACCGATTGGCGGCCGGCCAAACCGCCGGCTCAGCGATGATGGCACCGACCAGCGCCGTCCGCCGCGCTCCTACCACGAACGTCAGTCAGCTGCAGGAGCAGCGGGAGCAGACTCGCGGCAGCCAAACGCTGGCCGCCATCCGTACGTCCCACGCTCAGCGACTGCTGCGTCCGAGCGCGTGGATTCCTGGCGTAGCAGCGGCAGCACCGCAGCCTTCGATGAGCAGCGCTCTGGATCAGCGGGTGGTGCCGGGTCAGCAGCGGGAACAGCGGCAGCCGCTGGATCAGCAGCGCGCGGGCCGCGTCGCTTCCGGACGCCGTATAGGGGCGGGCGGCAAGGCCGGGGCGGATTCGCCCGACAGGGACCAGGTCGTCCGACTCATCGCATACCACGCCATCTGCTAGCTTCGGGCGAGTATGCCAACTATTTGCCAGCGGACGCTGCTGGCGCCGACTCCTCGCAGTCGTCATATGTGCTCATGGGCACCCACTACTTTGGCAATGTGCCCGCCTACATCGAAATGGACGCCAATGCCGTCAAGGAGGCCATCAAGAAGCAAGTGTAAGTAGTCCAGATTTCATTTCATTTTCCTAATGCCTTTCGCTAGATTGCTATTATTAATGGTTGAAGAACTTCTACTTATCTATTCAAGACAATTAATATAACTAAAGATTTTCCTTACAACTTAGGATATATTTATAGATTAAAATTATAAAGTAAACTTTATCTAGAATTCCCTTAAAGAGCGCTGCAGCTAAAGGCATTTTATCAGTTGAACTCTAAACATTTATGTTGACCCCATACCTTTATTTTTCGCCTCGTAGTGAATACTATTTCAGCTCCGATAATCTTACCGGCGACTTCTTTTTGCGCCGCAAAATGGACCCCGAGGGCTATATCCCAGTGACCCTGATTGCCTCGTTCCATCGCGTTCTCGCCCTGACCACCGACGTGGCCTTGATTGTGAACGCCATTAAGGAATCGGATAAATTGGAGCTCTTCGAGGGCTATAAGGTGCGCACCAAGACGACACCGACCGTTTGGCCCATCAGCGATGTGCCAGACATTCAGGAAGGGGACCCAAAGGCTCCACAGCTGGAGAAGGAGCAGTCGGAGAAGCTGGAGGAGGATCAAGAGAAACTGGAGGAGCAGACTGAGGCTGGATCTTCGCCGCCACCCATTCTCACATCGGCGATGGCAACGAAGCCGCTGAGCAGCATTCCGCCGCCGCCGGTGCCGCGCAATTCCCAGAATCTGATGCCCAAGATGCTGCAAGAGAAGCAGCAGCAGCCAAGATCAACGTCGACCATTGCCGCTCTCAATTCGGTGAATGCGATTAGTGCTTTGACCCAACATGTGGAGGGTGGTGCCGCCGAACTGGCTGGACACTTGAGTGGCCTGGCGGAGAGTGTGAATCCCAAGTCGACACCGGATAATAAGAGGTCGGCCGCTGGCGGCGGCAAGGGAGCTGGGGCAGCAGTTGCTTTGGTGGCGGAGCCGGAGGGCATGTGGAAAGAGGTAAAGAGACGCTCCAAAACAAATGCTATCAAAGAAAACGCTACTAAATCAGCCAACAACAACACGTCAACACCACAACAACAACAGCCACCGCTTTCACAAACGCTCAACAACAACAACAATAACAATGATAATGTTAAAACGAACAACACCTCGTCCACGTCCAAATCCTCGTCCACGTCCACGTCCAACGCCACATCCAACGCCTCATCATCCGCCACTGTGTGTGTAACCACGAACAATGCTTCCTCAGCCACCAAAGCAACCACCAATGCCACAAAAACCACCAAAACAACCACTTCCACCGCCACCGCCACCGCCACCACCACAAACAACAACATCAAATCTGGCAATGCTGCTTACTCCAATACCCACTCCAAATCCTCATCCAAAACAGCTGCTGCGCCATCCGCTCAGTGCCATGCCGAAAAGGAAGAACTAGACTTCCAGTTTGACGAGGAGCTAATGGACCCCCTACCCCCTGGAACCGGACGTATCAACAATTTCACCGAGAACTTTTCTGACGACGACGAATCCGACTATGAGTTTGCCGACCGTGACATCAACAAGCTGCTGATTGTTGCCCAAGTGGGCAGGGCACCCAAACACGAGGGCTACGATCGCACCGCTGACTTTACATCTCGCACCAAAATCACCCAGGATCTGGAGAACATCATCAACGATGGGTTGGTTAACTACGAGGAGGATCTGTGGACCACCACCAATGTGGAGCCCGATTACAAGACTGTCAAAGTGATTTCCCAGGCTGACTTTGAGAAACTAGCTGGTGGGCGTGCTAAACCGGCGGTGCCACAACAATTGGCACCCCCACCGCCGCCCTTCGATGAGCATGACCTAGATGAAACCCTTGTGGGTGATACTACCCTCAACTCTACGCTGAATTCGACACTGAAGTCTCGACGTGCCCGCTTTTATGCTGCTCCAAATTCCCACTCGATCGATCCCCGCACCCCAAGGAAGAGGAAACTCCGTCACACCGCCAATCCACCTGTGGAGGCTCATGTCGGTTGGCTGCTCGATACCGTGGAGCACCGTCCGCGCACCACATCCATGGGATCTTCGGCGGGCACATCGCCCACTACCTCGTCATACGGATCCTTTGGCTCATCGGTGCCACAGTCGCTACCCATATTCCAGCATCCGTCACATGCGCTGCTCAAGGAGAACAACTTCACCCAGCAGGTCTACCACAAGTACCACTCCCGCTGCCTGAAGGAGCGCCGGCGCTTGGGCTTCGGACAATCGCAGGAGATGAATACCTTGTACCGCTTCTGGTCGTTCTTCTTGCGCGAGAACTTTAACAAGAGCATGTACAACGAGTTCCGTACACTGGCGCTGGAGGATGCCGGCAATGGGTTCCGCTATGGTCTAGAGTGCCTTTTCCGTTTCTTTTCGTATGGTCTGGAGAAGAAGTTCAGGCCGAATGTCTATCAGGATTTCCAGGACGAGACTGTCGCCGATTATGAGACAGGTAAGGAGTCATTGAGATCTTTCAATTTATAGATTTTAATTCATATTTCTGTATCCATTAGGTCAACTGTACGGCCTTGAGAAGTTCTGGGCCTTCCTGAAGTACTACAAGAACGGCGAGAAGTTGGAGGTGCAGCCCAAGCTGGCGGAGTATTTGAAGAGCTTCAAGAATATCGAAGACTTCCGTGTGGTGGAACCGGAGATCAATGAGATGTTGCAGGGAGTGGGCAGCCTTAATCCTGGTCGCCAACTCAACAGACATCGCAGTGTGTCCGAAAGCGATGGCACGGCTGTGATTACAGCCGGCGGTCGTCGCCTCAACACCACCATCACCAACCGCAGCGACTATGTGGGTAGGCTGCTGCAGCAGCAGCAGCAGCAGCAGCAACAACAGCAACAGCAGCATCACCAGCAACACCAGCATCAGCAGGGATATGGCGGTTACAATCAGCAGAACCGACGACGCACTGGTTCCTTTGGCAGCAGCACCGTGCGCATTCGCAGCGGTTCCCTGGGCAACAAGCCGCAGGTGGTGAATCGCAATCAGGGATCGCAGCACGAGTTGCGACGCGGCGGCAGCAATACTGGCCTGGCGCCACACAAACGACAGCAGCAGCAAAAGCCCAAGCCCGGCGTAGGATCACAGACAAACGCTGGTCGTGCCAGCACATCAGCAGCTGCGACAGCGGCAACCACATCCTCAGCGTCAGCAGCAGCAGCAACATCTACAACAGCAGCAACAACACCGGCGGTCACGGTATCGGGCTCATCGTCGTCGCAGAAGTAATTACACGACAATGCAGAGAGACAGTTTTTTGATGATTAGGCTTAGGTTAAAATTTACAACTTAGTTTTCAGGGGGCACTCGTATTTGCATTGCTCTCCAACACACTCTTTTTGTTTATTCATTCTTATTATTTTTATTATTTTGTAGTATTCGAGTCAAGCGTAATGTGGGAACAGTCGTGTTAGCTTTTAGCATAATTAAGTGAAATTTTTGAAATTTGTTTATTGCAATTTGCTTAGCGCGTTGGTTTAGTAGTTACGATTCTTTCAAATTGTTTGTTTGCTCGCATACCCTCGACTAAAAACAACAAAAAGCTAAAAAAATAATGGTTGCTTACAAAATGCTCAATGTTTGTTGTTAGCACACACTTACACACACCCAAAAAACACACACACAGCGGGGTCTGTCTGCTTTGTACCAGTGCCAACCAGCCATGATCTTGAAAAGTTAACGAAACGAAAACGATTACCCTTATTTTTTGTTTTGTTTTTTGATTATTCCCCTTAATTAATATTATTATTTTTATTTTGTTGGTTTGCGAAACAAAAATCAAAGGCAAAAGATTTTCCTAATTAGAGCAGCGTTGTTAGTTGACGTAATGCCATGAACTGTTGTACTATATACGATTAAAGTTAATAACCATAACGAATAACCCTATGCAAATACTACCTAACGAGAAATCTGAATAGAAATCAAAACGAAATTGATACGCAACACAAAACCAAATGATCTTAATGCAAATACATTTTGTAAATTACAAAGATGATGCATATATCTATATATACGGAAAATATATATAGCGCAATGGCACAGTGAGACCACACATATGCATATATAGACATATATATATATATATATATATAAAGGAATATGATCACTAACTTTATATTATTATTGTTTATTTTTTCTGTGTCATCTGACCTAAGCGCAAATGTAAAATGTTGTAAGAGAGGCAACGAGAACGAGAACTTGTAGTCCTTAACCCAATGGAGGCATGCGGGGCTCAAGTGCCAGCGAATTTTAGTTATTTAAGCATTTACCACAAGCAAGCAAGTCCAGCGCAGCCGCAAAAGGATTAGGAATAGGAATAGCTTAGCCGTGCTCTAGCCCTTGCCCTTGCACTGCCCACTCCACCACCCCCCTTCCCAGTCTATATCGAAACACACACACACACACTCACATACACACAGAACTTTGTACCCCGCCAAGCATTTAGAAGCATGTCAAAAAACCATTTAGTTTTTGCACTTGTTACTTTTTAATTCGAGAAAACTACGATTACAACAAACGAGAAACAACAAAAAACATGAAAAATAAAATACAAAAAAAATTTTAAAATCAAATAAAAAATTGTCAAGTCCAAAAAAAGTTTAAAACTTTATAAAAAAAAACACGAGGCAAATCATGCAAACGAAAAAAAAAAACACAACAATAACAGAAATTTGTTTCGCATAGTAAATAAATCTAAATTTAAAACATATGTGAGAAATCAAATGTAAGCTTAATACGGATAATAACTATATATATATATCTGAATATATATATCTACGCATATATAGAGAGACACAGCATCTGACTTTAAATAACTAAATAAGAGGCGAACGGTGAAGATGTTCGTTAGCAAAAAAACACTCTCTCGCAGGAAGGTCCTTTAGCTCCTCAGCTCATCTAGCCAAACACACATACACAAATAAGAAAAGTGCAAAAAAGATGTTTCATTAAATATTATTTCCTAATCATTAGATATTTGTAAATGTATATATTTCCCCGCTACCTATCTTTTTAAACTGTCGCCTTATCAATTTTACCCACACACACCCACACACATATATATATTGGCCAGACGCTTCTGTATGAGCTTAACGATCCTATCAATATTATAAACATTTTAAATATAATACAAATCATAGTGAGAGAGGTCAGGTCCAAGGACAATTCATTCGGCTGTTGCGTTATTATACATATAGTTCTGCCACAACTATTTTTGTTTTTCACATGAAGTGTTGACCTTAGTTTATACACAAAAACACACACACCCACTTGATCACAGTCTTTGTAATGTGTGACTTTAAGTTTGCAACCTTTTATATGAATAATTTACGTTTAAATCTACGAATACGATACGTTATACACACAACACACATACACACAGAGAGAAAGAATACCTACGAAATGAACATAATGGAAACTCTATTTAAAGTAATTTTGTAAGCCACTTAAATATGGAAAAATGCGAGAGGAAAACTAAGTAAAAACAAGAAAACAAAACAAAAAAAGATCGAAAGAAATGATTATTGTGAAAAACGTGATAGTTTAAACCATAAAGAGTAATATTTACTACTATTATTATATTAATAATTAATTATACGATGCATATATGGATATGTACATGTATGTAAAACGGAAAACCACAAAAAATTTCTAAACTAACGTAAACAAAAAAAAGTAAAAAATTTTTTTAAAATTACCAACACAAAAAATGTTAAAAACAATGAGTAGAAAAAACTAAAACAAAAAAATGAATAAAAAAAAACTTGAAAAAACCAAAACCAAATAAGTTTTTATGCCATTTCCGGGAAAGGGAAATCTAAGGGAATTTTTCCCAAGGGGAATTGTTTTGTTTCATGCAATTGCCAGAAGATGGCGCCAGTTGCAAGGTGAATATCCTGTGAGCGGAAAGCAGCTTTACTTAAAAAGGGTTAAGTTTAATCAAGAAACTCAATTAATTTCAGTTTATTTTTATTAATAAAAGATAAAAAACATAGAAAATAAAAAAGAAACCCAAATTTGATCAAATTAAAGAGCATTTTGTATGAAAACAGGGGCTTAGGTAAGAAACAAAGGTCGAAAACAAAAGTGTGACCGGTGACCAATCGATTAACCCTTTGAGTAATTAACCCCTATAGGGGCGTTTGTGTGTGTTTGCCATTTGTCATCTGGCAACAAAGTGCAAGGGGAAACTACACACAGATTCCCTGATGCTGCAGCAGCTCCGAGGCTGAGCCCCATCCCGGACACATGTTGTTGGCTTTGGCGAGCATTGGGTGTCACAGATTAACGCCTCACTTGAATTATGGCCAGGCCCCCTCCTCCTCCCAGAGCTACATCGCAGGAAAACTACTCCACAAAATCCGGGGCGAGCGCATGGAAAAATCATGTATAAAACATAAGAGCAGCAGTACACACAGGTACACTACGAAAAATCAGGTATTTAAATATAAATTTAAAGAGAAATAGGGAATGCTTGAAATTTAATTTAGTTATTTTTTTCATTGAGTAAAGAAAAGTGAAAGGAATTCTTTCCTTTTCACAGAAAATGTAGAAGGAATCTATAGGGAACAAGAAGCAGAAGTGATTTTACCTTTGTCTGGCCTTTAAAAATTATACAAAATAAGTATTCTATTATAAAAATGCATTTACAATGCTATTTCTTTTTTCTGTAAAATAATAAATATTGAAAAAATATTTAAAATGTTAACATGTTAAATAATAAATATTGAAAAAATATTTAAAATGTTAAAATGACTCATTTAAAACAGAAATCCGAGTCCAGGTTCCAAGTGTACCCGAAGGTATGGCTGTGTGGGCTTTAAGTCGACAAAGGACAAGACGCAAAGGCACGCAAGGACCAAAAGCAGAGGCCGAGGACCTAGGACCTGGCACCTCGCCGACGATAGCCTGCAGAGGCGTTTAAAAATTGAAAACCAATTTTGTAGCGATTTAAAGCGGGGCCCGAGAGGGGCCAAAGTTAAGCCAGATGGCGTGTGTACGAGTGTGTAGGTGTAAGTGTGCCTGCTGGTGGTGCTACTTTTCGCACCTCAAAGCGCAAGTCCTGACCCCGACAGAGCTTAGATTGTGTTACCAATATTTATGGCTCAATGGGGACAGGGGAAGACCAAGGGTTTTCGGCTGGCGTGACCGCGACTAAGTCTAATCACATGTGACCCCTTCAAGAGGGGAGGGCCCAGAAGTGGCAGTAGGAGCACCAGGAGGACATGAGGCAGGGATTGGTTTGGGTCCTTCATATCGAAGCTTAATTTAATGGGCGTTTAACGTGTGACTCGCCTTTGAACTTTGCCCGCACTTAGCTCACGCACATGCTTCCGGCGGGAGAGTGGATCCGGAGTACCTGGAACGGGGCACACACACACACGTCAAAGCTGCAATTTATTGGCATTTCCTCTAATAATCAGCGACTGTGTTTGGTGCTCCATTTGGTGCAGGAGCAAATTGCTTGCAAGGTTTGACAAGACATTAATTGGAGGGTGCTTGAGCCAGGGGGAATCCCCAAGACCAGTTTATTTTCCAGGTTGCAAAGCCACTGGAAATTGCAATGGAGATGGTTTCATGATTAGTTTTTTACACTTATAAAATATCCTGATTTATCCATTAGTCTCAAATTCAATTTAACCATGACTCTGCTACGATTCTATATCCTGCTCCCGTCTATATTTAAAAATAAAGATACAGATTAAATAACGAGGATTTTGCCATCCCATCACCATGTTAAATCAACACTCACCATGTGATGGTACACGGCGCACCACAGGCAAAACAATTTGCACATTGGCTTAGCGTTATTATTGCCCCCGATCCATAAATATAATTTAGAGCTTTCAACAAATTTTAATACCTAAATTTTCGCTTTGGTGCGCCGCCTAATTAGTTCCAAAAACCTGGGGCGTAAAATTCCGGATTCCGTGAAACCTCTGTCAAAATTTTATCACCGCAAAGCAATGGCCCACAGAAATGGCCACCGGAATCCAAAAACAAACTATATCGGGTTACCCCTTGGGAGATGCAGAAAGAGAGTGATTCCCAATATTCGAAATAATTAAATAAAATATTTGATAAAATGGTTTCCGGTTGCACCGGTTTTGCGCAAAAACTAATTATATTTATGGGGTCCTCCATGCCTGTGGATTGCAGTTGCCCAGGTAAATATCAGGATGTATAGAAATTGGCAATAAATTTTCATGCTTTTCCTTTGAGCTCTATGAAATTCGAGCATGCACGAATTGTTCATAAATGAATGTTTCCGGGGACAAAGTTCGTCAGCCATGAGGAATCTGTATTTATCCGATAAATATATATATATCTATATATATATATTCCTGTGGCATATCTATATCTTGGACTCTAAATTGCATTTTATTCAATATCTGATTCGTATGCAAATATATAGGCATATGTGTACTATGTTTCTTTATATTTTACTACTGTGAAAAAAGATTATAAGTTTTATGTGGCAAGGAAAAATGTTTTGTAATATATATTATTTATTTACATAAGATACTATTTCTTCTTGAAGTATTTTACACCCGAGATAGATTTCCATATTTGTCATGCCCACAATTAGGCCAAGTTAGACCGTTGTCCGCTTAGGAATCACCCACAAAAGCGAGGTTATCCTGTCGGAATGCAATTCCATTAATTCCAACTCGGCTTCTCTATGTTTTGGTCTACTCAAACTATTTGCATGGCCATTATGTTTAGCCCACGCACTTGCCCAGAGCCCTAATGGGGTAGGGCTTACACAGCAATTACATTTCATTTGAAATGCACTGCCCGAGTACCCTTATTCCGCTGCCAGATGACCAGGACTTGATAAATTGTCATGGGCTAAGGAGGGAGACGAAATCAAATTAATGATATGAATTTCTTATTTAAGGACATTAACACAAGGTCCTGCTTGTTCTGCTGACCATGTTGCCGCAAAAGGTCCGATTAGTGTTGTCAATTCTTAATCAAAAGTTGATACAATATTGTAAATTAGATATTTTAATAATTAATATCTAATATGAACAATATCTTGACACTGTTTTGGGGCTTATTTTATGATAAATTATCTCGAAAATATCTTAGAGATGCAGAAGTCTTAGCTTGGAGGTTCAGTTACTCAAAAGATAATGGGTTCGAATGTGAAATATTTTTAATTCCTAACCCAGGTTTTTTCTTACCTTAAACTTATGTATCTAAAAAACTACATTTTGATTATTTATTTAACTATTTCTATTCACAAATATCAAACAATCCAAATTGACAACACAGCAACACATAATTTGGGTATAGAAAATCTTCTACAGTCTGTTTACTTTTGGGCCCAATAAACAGGAAACGGAAGTGCGTCAGCGCTACTCGTTGCTACACA